ATTCGTGTTTTCCGCGAATCAAAGATCTGTTATACAGCGGTTCGAAATACTAAACCGAAACAGATCAAGGTATTTTCATAGTTTAGATAATTTTCGGGGAACCCCCCTTTTTCTTAGAAAACTAGCCTCCTTCATTTCCTAGAATTAAAGGTGCAACTGCGTAGTAAAAGCTTGACACTAGATATACGAGTCACACATTAACCTTAACAAACATTTAACATTTCGGGGAAACCATTTTTTTCTTGGAACAAATAGCTTCCTATTTTTCCTAGAAATAAACATCTCTTTTGCGACTGCGCAATAAAAGCCATACATCGATATAAATAAACCTCTTAAGGAGGGTGTGGGTAGTTTTGGTCTGGCACACCTAGCCGCAATGAAACGGCTACAACTTCGTCTTGAATAACTCGATCTGCAAGCGCTTTTCACACAATGTCAGGAAAGGATTAAAATTTTCAAAAATGATAAATTAGTTTAAAGCGGCCTTTTCGTTATGACGTAATGGCGACATCGTAGAAATCGTTTACCGCTTATTTTCTCGAAAACTAAACTTTTTTGATATGAAGCTAAATGACCCCATTTGTTGTCAAAAGCGATAGAAAATATCGATAAAAGCTTCATTCAAAATATCGTCGAACGATTTTTTTCTAAATGAAGTCACTGAAAGAAGTATCTTTTACAAATATTCTCCTTTAATTTCATATGCATTGAAGGGTTTTAAGGCAGTCAAATAAAAATAAGTACGCTCACAACTATATTCGCTAACGGCTGCTTGTTGATTATTCACGCTTGACTTCCGTGTTGTTCCTTGTCGCGATCTGTTACGGCTGGCTGCACCGCTCACGCTATGCTGAGCTCTTATTTTTATTTGACTGCCTTAAAACCTTATTATTATAATACATAAACTCGATCGAGCGAAGTTTTAATATTACTAATCAACAGTTGTATTTACTATAAGTGCCTGACTTCTTAAGAAAATAATCAATGTAGATGTACGTAACACACAGCCCGCCTTTGAAACTGAAAACAGAGAAAGCGTTTTCAAATAGATCTTCTTCCAATTGTACTCTATACTTGACTCAGTTGACTCTATCGCGAAGTCGTAGTCGAAGTCGTCTTTCGTATTAACAGAAGTTCAGACAATTAATTCATCACATAATTCGCTTCCAAACTCAACAAAATAGCAAAGAACTAGGTGTTAAAAGGAAAATAAAAAGGACGAATACTCAACTTACTAGATAACTTGAGTATTTAAAATATTAAATCGATCGAAATACTTGGAATCCTTTGAGAATGTCAACAAGCATCAGGAGGGCACAGGAAGACCAATCTTCGAAAAGTGCAACAAATATCCACGAGTTCGCCAAAGGGCGGTTTGATCTTGGAACAAAGAGCTTTTTTTCTTTTCCTAGAAGTAAACACTACATCGATACATGTCACGCAATAGCAAACTTCTTAAATGTTATAACCTAGACCGGAAAAATAATGATATCAATATCTTTATTCTCTCAAACGTTTTGCATTTTGGGATTATAAACAATCTTGTAAAAATGGGGGAATCCCCGCTTTTCGTAGAACTCATCTTTGGTTTCCAAGAATTAGAGTTCGCATTTACGCTTGCGCAGCTGTCATGGTTTCTATAGGGATCAAAGTGTCTTCATGCTCTGGTCGTTTGGTTCCGCGTCGACTCTTCTTTGACAATTTTACGCCATACTATCGAGCAATGAATTCAATACATGTAATTCCATGTTCACGAAGCCGAACTACGAACATCCAAGATCGAAGTACAGATTTCACATTAACTATATTTGAAGAAGATTTCATTCGTATTCAAAATCTAGTTA